ATTGCCCATGAGATTGCTGCCGTCGCCCGGCAAATTGGAAGCAGCTTATTCACAATCCATCCGCTAAAAACTGCTCTGATTATAAATCTATAGCAGCTAATTTTAAAGGCATAGTCGGTAAAGCAAAAAAAGAATATGATCTTGTACATTACGACTTTTTCTCAAAACCGAAAAAATAAGAAATCTGCGTAGAAAGCTAAGCCGTTGGCTCTATTGGAGGGGACTATGTCTGGGACTCCCTAGGTTTAAAGCAAATAATGTTATTTATCAGGAAGCACGTCACGCCTACATGGCTCTGTCGATTCCGCTTGTTAACAGTACAGACATTTCTAAAATTTTACAGCTTACCAGTGAGAAGAGCTGAATACGTTTTCATCAGTGATCCGGATTTGTTCTTTCTCGATCATTGGCCTCGTTTTCACACACCACAGATAATCTATGTAGAAAAGAAACTGACAAGTGTACATGTCAACATTAGTGAGGTAATTGAATCTGACATCTCAAACCATATTTCTAATATAAAACATGATGATATATTTCCTCCGAAATCTAAATTTCATCCCCGCAAATTGTTAGAGAACAGGCCAGCAGCTTTCCTGCAATGTACACAGACACGTAACATAATAGCCACAGATGCTTCCGCCAATGAGGAAAAGGCACGTGTAGGCATAGTCTCCCAATCACTTGGCTGGTCATTTGCCGAGAGGCTACCCGATTTCACTCCTGTTTTTGAGGCGGAGCTAATAGCAGTCATCAAGGCACTCCGAACATTTCCGAGAAAAAAGAACAAGTGATTAATAATTACTGATTCGCTCTCGGTATGCACAGCTCTCACAACTTCTCATACCTCTCCTGTCATGACGACGTTACGATCTTTAGTTCCGTCTCAGCTGAAGTACCTGAAATAAGTATGGGTCCAAGGTCACTGTGGGTTAACATTAAATGAAATGGCCGACACATTATCTCCCTCACCGCTAGATCTCCCAATAATTTAGGTTCTTCCGGTGGTAGAATACTCCACCGCAATCAGGTTTAGAAGATCAGCTATCCACACAGATATGAAAAGCAGTAACCACGTGGACGGAATATAATCACCTAAAATATCCATGGAAATCACAGTAGAGCCATTCTGGACAGTAAGAAGTTATAATCACCAGATTTCGATGCCGTGCCCCCCCCCCCTTTCCTCCATTAAACTTTTACTGGTACAGGGCTGGTCTGGCGATATCACCGCTCTGTTAATCCTGCAAAAAAACTGGAAAATATCGCAAATTACTTTTGTCATGTGCAAGATATTCTCGTATGAGAACTCGACTTCTAATTACTCCTTTTACAAAAATAGGCTATAGGTTTGAACTTATTGGAGAAATATTTTTAAGCTTCGATGCCTCAGGTTTGGGATACTGCCACAAGGATGCCTTTGATACCATGTCTAAATTTATTATAAGTACTCAACGAGTGCCAATTTAAGCTGGTATCTAAAAATTCTTCGCAATTTCGTTAAGTCAAAGCTTGAGTTTTCAAAATTATTCTCATCAGGTTATTACGGCAGTCTGGAATACAGGCTCGAAAGCATATTACTTGTAGTTAAATTGTATATCTAAGTATTATTGCAATTTCATTTCCTTATTTTTGGTTTTAAATTTTATAGCTTATCTTAAATAACATTCCTTTTAACAGTCTCCATGCTGCATATTTGGCCAATCTCCAAAAGTGGGTACGTGCTATGTATCTAGGGCAGTATAGCAAAGCAAAGAATGCCGGCATACTACCCAAATACAATTAATATGCCTCCTACATGCCTCCTACAGATTATGTAACAGCAGCGAGATATAGAAACTTTCCCTTCTTCAAGACTCATCAAAAATTATGATACCGAGTCCAGATTTCTCGCACCTGCACTTCACATGGAATAATAAATGGCGTCCCACGCGTAAATTGGAAGTCTTGATAACAAAATTACGTTGCCGTGTACCGCCTCTTAATTTCTACTTAAACAGGTCTGGTCTGGTGCCACCCCCTCTGTGCTCAAGCATTAACGAACCTGAACATATCGACCATTTTCTTATCACAAGTCACCGTTTCAAAAATCAAAGAAAAAACTGCTTCGAAATTTTATTCAGAAAATTAGGAATATCACTTAATACTCCCAATATTTTGTCTTTTGGGGCCACTTCATTGGGACACAGCGACAGGAACATCTGCGGGGCTCTCTGCGAATTCATATATAACACAAGAAGATTACCTTGCTGAGTCAGCGATCAGCTCTCGAATTTTACTAGCCACACTAACACTTATTATTTAGCTGATGCACTGCAATGATTCAACTTTCAGGAGAATTTCATATAACGATTCTACCTCAGGTATTCAACAAATTCTATTATTTCTCCTCCCTCTTTTTTCTTTTTTTTACAATGCGCCAAATCAATTTCACAGTCAAAACACAGTAATCATATTTCCCTAGTCTAGAAAATCTATAGGTATTGACTTGCATTAACCACCGGCTTCTTGGCCAATCCCCCTTAGTGGGGGAGAGCCACAAAAGAAAGGAACAAGCAAGCAAGCAAGCAAGCAAGCAAGCAAGCAAGCAAGCAAGCAAGCAAGCAAGCAAGCAATTAATAATATTGACCTAGTGGATATCAATCAAGTATGCTTGCAGTAGTTACCCAATAAGTGTTTCGAAATGGCTCTGAAAAGCCGCTCTTCTAGCTTTCGCTGTGAGTGTGCAGCGCATTCCACGCAGGTCTGGCGTTTTTTGGTCAAGCTGTCTCTGCCTTCGTAAGTGTCACGACCCAGTAGCATTCTTACTATATCTTCAGCTGTGAGTGAGTAGGGTTTTTCTGAACCTCGCCAGCTACGCAGCTAAGCCGGTACAAAATTTATGACAAATCCACACAGCAAGTTTATTATCACCTGCTAGAATAGTTAATTGGTACAGTACAGTTGGTGTAAAAGTAGAACAGCCGAAATGCAATCGAGTAGTCGGTGTTTCAGGACAAAGGTCTTGGTTTTATTGCTGAGTGTGAAGTTTATTGCGCAAAAAATATGCTCATTCTCAGTTAACACGAGATAAAGATGTCAGTGGTGTCATCTCAATATAGTTATTATTCTGAATCCTTCTTTATACACTGCAGATGGACATGCTTTTTATCACTTCTACGATAGCTCACACGGTAAAAATGGATATTACCTCAATCAAGAAAGTCTTTCGAAAGAAAATAGCATGGTCAATTTGACAGAACGGTTGATGTCATCAGGCTAGTTTGAATGATGATAGCATACATTTAACAAGAGGCAAATAGAACTGGTCACTAGAGATAGTTTCGAGGGGGTCCCAAATAATAGCAGGGCGATAAAGAAAAGCGACGTTGTTACGCAAATTACACCATGTACGTATTCTTCTCGCTATACTGGAGCTACTATTACTAATTGTTCCTTGATCATGTTTATTTATTTAAAATAATTACGTGTCTAAACTGGCTAACGCTCTACTAATCATTAAAAGTCGATTATTCATATGTAGGTTTGCACATATGACCTCTAACAGGACTGTTTTAAAAAACGTACTAAGTGCTCCATTTTTTTCGGTAATAGAGGCCACAAACCACAAAAGCTCAAAAAAGCTCTTCTCTACACTGCACTTAAATGTATTCAGATGCAAATACACTTTTGAAATGTATCCTAATAAAGAAATAGAAATACACCGATGTGTATTTTCGAGACTGTGCGATAAGTTGCATGCGAGACTCTTGTATCACGGTACGACTACGTTCTGACGAATATTTGCATGAAAAGCAGGGAGTATTAGTCAGCGAGGCTCACAGCCATAAGAGCGTGTGTGGAACACTCTTTTTGCCAGATGGTGCGACGTAGCACGTGGGCCTTAAATAGTGGACAGTTGATCAAGATGTATCACATACTTTCTGTGGCGACCAGCCTTACTTATATAGATTAAGTATGGAAATATAGGTTGAAATGCTGGCTACGCATTTTGCAGCAACGTAATAAACTAATTAAAACATATATATTTGCAGGAGTTTGACGTACATAAATCACAATATGATTTTGAGGCACGCTGCAGAGAGGTCTTCCAGATTGATTTCAGCAACCGGATATTCTATTCCAAGGACGGGAGTATACTTTGCATTTAGTGATTATCTTTATTGGGGGTCAAATGGAAATGGAATTAAAATATTGTCAAAGTATATCGTACTCCACTATGCATACGCTGGATCTACTAGCAAACAGCTATATTCTTTAGAAAGGTAACTTTTTTGCGTGAGTTCTCTCATTTGCTACATTTTTGCTACATTTTTTGCTACAAAAAACAAAGTACCAAATATGTCACAAAGAGGAGTACTCCCACAAATTTAGGGTATTTATCTTTCGGAGAGCACCGAATTTCTTAAAACCTGCAAGCGTTTTGTGCATTAAAAGCGTCAACCATAGGGAAAGTGGTGGCTCAGGTATGATTCGCTATTTCTGGTTAGGAAGTGACATTCAGATATTCACTGTTTACAGTCTGTGTCAGCAGTGCAGACGTAAACAGTCTTTTGCAATGTCGTTTTGAGGAAATACGGAGCTGATAATAGGAGGCATGGTGACTCGTTGGAGAGAGCCTGATGTTTGATTCATCGCTGAATCCGAGAGAGGTCAGCAAGAGTGTGTCGAATGTACCGCTGCGCGTGGTATATTTCTGTTCAGGCAAAAAAAATTGACTTGTACAGATTGAAAGGACAGTTTTTGATGCCATTAACGAACTCAGACGGAGGGCCTGACCAAAATAATAAAAAAAATGAAGCGACAAAACAGGCTTCCAAGAATAATGTTCTCTCAATAGAAGGACAATGCTTTCGTGCACACTTGATTGTTTTGAACACAGACACCATCCGAGTACAGCTGGTGATTATCGTAAACTGAATACTGGGTAAATATCAAGACCCTGTATGAGGTACTATATAAGAAAGCGAATCATTCACTTAAACTCTCATACCGAAACTGAGACTACTTAAAATCAGAATGAGTCACATTTTGTCGCTCAGCTCAGCAATAGTCGCCGCCGTTATTCTCCAAGCAGTGTGAGTATACCGCTTCTACGAATATTGCACTTACCATGACAAAACAAAATGGCGCAGATAAGTTAGATTTGGTGGTTGTCAAAGTGGGTTATTACCCCGCCGCCGTGGTCTAGTGGCTAAGGTACTCGGCTGCTAACCCGCAGGTCACGGGATCAAATAGCAGCTGCAGAAGCTGCATTTCCGATGCAAGCGTAAAGGCTGCAGGCCCATGAGCTCAGAATTTGGGGCACGTTCCAGAGCCCTTCAATACGGCGTCTATCATAAGCATATGGTGGTTTTGGGACGTGAAAACCCACATATCAATCAATCAATAAATCAAGGTGGGTTATTCTTCTCTCGCTGGCATGTGGTTTGGGAAGCATTTTAATGCGATAGCGTTGGAGAGCTCGTTTTGCAGAAATTTTGTTGTCGGCGTCCGTGTCAGTGTCGGGGTCGTCGGTTGAAAGCGAAAAATCGCAATGATCTGCATGACCGAAAAAAATTAGGACAGCTTAAATAAAGTAATTAGGAAGCAATACTGGTTCTGAGTTAGGATCGAACTCTGATTTGTTGGATGGCAAGTGGGTGTTCCACTACAGAGCTACACGCCTGCTTAAAAATACAGTAAAAGAACTTCTTCTGCTGTGAAATAAGTTAAACGTAACTTAAATGCTTTACAAAAGCATGCGTGCTGTATACGTGCTTCACAATGCAACATGTAATAACGCCGTAACAATGCATGGTACAAGCATACACTGTGATCGGGCGTAAAAAATGGCAGGTTATCCACGGGTTGAATGATGGAGAGTGGGGCAAAGCATCCATCCGTCCATTCGTTCTAGCTTCCGTCCGTTCATGCCTCCGTCTGAGTGACCATCCGTGCGTCCTTTCGCCCGTCCGTGCTTGTGCCTGTTCGTGCGCCCACACGTCCATCCGTGCGTCCATCCCAGCGTTCTTCCATGCATCGACCCCTGCGTCCATCCATGCGTCCATTCGCCCGTGGAGCCATTCATGCGTCCGTCCATGCGTCTGTCTGGGTGTCCATCCGTCCATGTAGTCAACAGTCCTAGTACCATCATCTCGAATATTTTCATCATATATTTCGCATATATAAGCACCGCCATCCAGCGGACATTCAAAGGACTAAACGAGAGGTAGCACACGCACGCTTTTTTGCAGCTTGCGCTTCGTGTCTACTTCCCACCTTTAACCACCTCGAGTTATTGCTATATACTAGTTCACTGTAGTCATGACACTGCGGCCCAACGCTTGCTAAACCTTTCTAAAACCATGGAGGTTACGCCCAGCGAGTATAACGTAGCAACGCTTTCTTGTCAGATAGTGGTCAATATGCATGCCATTGGCTGCTAATGGGAAATGAGAGACAGGAGAATTCCGCTTTAAGTTAACGCGCATGGACGAATGTAGGCATGGATGCATGGACGAACGCAGGGACGGACGCAAGGATGGACATGCGGACGCACGAACAGACGCAAGCACGGATGGGCGAATGGACGCACGGACGGTCACACAGACGGACGCATGGACGGAAGGAAGCAAGAACGAATGGACGGACAGATGCCTCACCCCACTCTCCATCATTCACCTCGTGGATATATATGCTGCCATTTTTTTATTTCCAATTTTACGTAGACTCTAGTGGAGACGCTCGGGTGCGACTTCGCGCATGTGAAAGACTTAGATAAAGCTGATTCATTATCAGATCAGACAGGCAGAGTTCCAATATTATTTTGTTTTGAATTATTCTGAACCAGGGGTGAACTCTTAAAGTAATCGGCTACACATTCTACTACTGTTGTTTAAGAAAAAAAAACAAAGGAGCTATTGTCACCATTGCATCACTAATGCTCCCCCTTTCTACCTGATAGTAACAAATAAAGTAAAAAAAGCTAAGTAGCATATATATATATATATATATATATATATATATATATATATATATATATATATATTCCTACACAGGTGAGTGCAAAAGTTATCATTTGATCTGTCTCTTTGTGCACACCTGAATCTCATTCATATGAAGTGGGAACCTTGTTTGATTACTTTGTTAACTCGGAAAGTTCCTGAAAACAAGTGATCGATTCCTTAGTACTTTTACTTCCATACTTTTATCACGATGACATTGAAAAACCGTCCGTAGCAGCGTAGTATTAACAACCTATATCTGTGCATATGCGCATTCGGCGATTGTGGCTTGAACTTGAGTATGGCCTGCTAGTGTGGCCTGAACATGAGAGTGTGGCCTGAACATGAACACGCGAAAAGCGAGTTGCTTTGTCCCGGCAAGATGCAACCCCGTGGCCAACAAGTCATAGTCTTTGAACGTTCATCATAGCAGTATATTGTATTGGACAGTAGAGCAGAAAGTCGTCTGACCTGCACGAGTGGGCAGCACTGCATTTCAGTATGACGTTTGGTGCTTATGTGTTAGTTTCACACTGTGCGGAGGAAAACAAAGATTTCAACCTTTTACTTCAATGTACAGCATCTAAATCAGCCACAGTTCTTCTAATGATTTTGTTGCCGTCGGGGCGAAAATTGATTGATTGATATGTGGGGTTTAACGTCCAAAAACCACCATATGATTATGAGAGACGCCGTAGTGGAGGGCTCCGGAAATTTCGACCACTGTAGCGACCGGGCTATGCCTTGACCCAGCGAGTCATTTGCCACGCCGGATTAGTGCAAAAAGGACAGTCTCGCCACGTCTGGACGGAGGAAGCAACAGAGGCCGGCCCCACGAGACGTCGCCTGCTGATTGACAGCGGCGCCAACGGGATGGAATGTCGCCAAAGAGGGTTTTGGAGCCGCCACTCTATCTCCGGCCTGGGCCAGTCACGCATCGTTAGCGCGTTAACCGGCAGACGACGGCGCTGGTCAAAGGGCTCTCCCCAGAGGATTCCACGAACCGGGCACCTCTCAAAAGATCGGCGCTTGTTTAATCCATTGTCAAGTAGCCGACCGGCTGACTGCCTATGCCCGCCAGGCATTGTCCCGGAGTACGAGACGTAGTGTCGCCAAGACGCCACCAAGAGGACAACAGGGACGGCGTCTTCCTGGGGGAGACCGCGGCGGCTGCCGCGGATCGCCCCGCTAATTGAGCGAACATAATCGGCGGACCCTTTGAAGTATGCGGCCAGGATTGTGGGCACTCTCGACTAAAGGCTCACACACGACGAGGAAGAGCCCTGCTGGCACCACCAAAGTGCAGTGTTCACGTGGACCTTGCATGCTCGCCCCCCCTCGCCTGTGTGTGCGTGATTGGTGGTCGACTCGTAGAGGAGGAGCCCGACAGGGCATAAAACGACGCGGCAGAGTGCTGGACGTCGCTCTAAACCTTGCTCTGAACTATGTAAAGTTTAACCACCACGCTCGTGGTTTGTGAAACCACTAGTTCTTCTCTTCTCTTCTGTCATCTCGACAACTCCATGTAAAGATGTAAATAAACCCGTTAAGTTTGCTCAAAGCTCTCCCCTAGTCCTTGGCTCGACGGAGCGACGGTGATCGGCCCCGCTACCCGAGACGGCGGTCGCCGCGACGCGCAACAACTGGTTGGCAGCGGTGGGATGCCATCAGCAGCAACTTCCTCTTCCATCCGTAACAACTGGATGGCAAGCGGTTGGATGTGAGCCTGGAGGACGGAGAATCAACGACACGCCGAGATCATGGAGACTGGCAGCTGTGGACTGGTGAGTGCTGGCTTTGGTTTTTTGGTTGCCAGGCTGATAAGATAGAAGTGCAATCTTTTCGCTGGTAGAGGCTACCACAGAAGCAGTTGTTTACGGAACTTCTGGGTAGGGAGTGAGCCGCACCACACTAGTTCTCTGTCATGGATTGGAAGCGTTTGTTGAAGAATCAGCTCCTGATTCTGGGGGAGGAGCTGGGAGCAGAAGTAGATACGGGGATGAAGAAACACGCAATTGTTGGCGCTATCGAGGGCTTGAATCTGACCAGTGAAGATATTAAAGAAACGTGGAACGAGATTCAAAAGCAACAGGAACAGGAGCGCGAGAAAAAGCGTGAGGAACAGGAGCGTCAGGAAAGGCGTGAGGAACAGGAGCGCGAGAAAAAGCGTCAGGAAAGGCGTGAGGAACAGGAGCGCGAGAAAAAGCGTCAGGAAAGGCGTGAGGAACAGGAGTGTCAGGAAAGGCGTGAGGAACAGGAGCGTCGGGAAAGGCGAGAGCAAGAGAGAGAGCAGTGGAAGGAAACCCTAAAGGTAAAACTGGAAGAGACAAGAAGAAAAATACAGTGCCTTAGATGGTCTCAAGTAAATTCGAGGATCCATGCATTCGAAGAGGGCGAGGATATAGAGAGTTACCTAACCTCTTACGAGAAGGTTTGCACAGACCTAAGGCTCGACGAAGACTATTGGTCTATCGCCTTATTGAGTGTCTTTCCATGCGACTTAATTGGTAGAATAGGGTACCTTTCCGAGGACGAGTTCAACAGTTACAATGTAGCTAAGGCAGCCTTACTGCGGTGCTTCGGCACCAGAATTGACAGAAAGCAAATTGAATGCAAGCTCATGAACGCTCCGTTGAAGAACGCGCGGCGGTGTGCTGGTATTAACACCAAGCCTGAGAGGGGTCCGCGTGTCTCTCATAGCACCAAGGTGAATAGTGAGAGCAAATGGGAGATAGAAAAACGGGAGCGAGGTGAAGAGTTCGAGCGAGCACTCAGCCTAGATATTGAACTGTCGGAACAAAAAGTCGAGGCTACGCAGTGGAAGATTCAGCCATCCGCAAGTGTAGAGCACGAGAAGTGCGAGGTGCAGTCCAGAGCTTTAGAGAAGGCTAGCACGTGTGAACATAGAAGCGGAGTCAAAGGCGAATCGAGTTTGAGTGCTGCGAATGAAGCTGCGCTGAGTAGAGAGATCGACGAAGGTCAGAGCGAGTGCGACGAGGTGCTTTGCCAGTTAACTGTTAGCGAAACAGCTAGAATAGCTGTAGAAAAACTGGTACAGACCTCAACTGGGCTTGTCGCGACGGTGGATCTTG